TGCGAACTGCAAAGAGTCAAGTAGGTGTTCAGTCTTAGTAAGTAGATCCTGTTTTATTAATTTTTCAAAAGACTTCATGACAAGGGAAGTCAAGGCCACAAGTCTAAAATCATTAAAAACCTTGGGGTGGTTGATTTTGGCCACGGGTATAACTGTGGATTGCTTCCAACACCTTGGCACCCTCTGTAGGTTAAGAGACAACTGGAAAATACAATAAAAAATGGGGGCTAACTGTTCTGCACAGGAAGAGAGCAGTCAGCTACTTATGTTGTCAGGATCCGGACTTTTCCCGGTTTTAGACTGTTTAAAAGAACTGGCCACAGAGAGGACATCAAAGGGAACAAGTCCAGAACAGGATAGCTTGTTCTTAAAATTTAAGATTTCATTGCTAAAATCAAAGGAATCAAACCTGAGATAAAACTTACTGAACTCCTGTGCCAAGTGATTGTCAGAATTAAAACCATCGAGAGACACCTTTTTGTGGCTTTTGTTTTCTGACCCAACAATAGTTTTTAAGCCATTCCAAACAGACCCCAACTTATTGTTGGCAAGTTCTCTTTCCAATTTCTCTTTGTAATTCAGTTTTTTGCCCTTTTCATCTCACTCTTAATTTCCCTTTTTTAAAGATATTTTTTGGCCGTTTTAGCCTTTAATTGATAGGACAGCTTAAGTGTGAAAGGGGGAGAGAGAGAGGGAGTGACATCCAGCAAAGGGCCACAGGCTGGAGTCGAACCCGGGCTGCTGCAGCAGCAACAGCCTTGTACATGGGGCGCCTGTTCTACCACTAAGCCACCGACACCCCTTAATTTCCCTTTTAAGCAGGTTCAGCTCTGTAAGGTTGTTCTCTCGAAAGCATGCAATATTCTCTATCCTTAGACCCTTGATTCAGAAAAGGTGTCGTCTTGCTATTAATTTTCAGGTGGTACCCTGATGTAGGAGTCTCCAGAGGAAGGTGTAGTCTCCTTGACTATTGAGGCCTCTGGCCAGCTCTCCAGGATATGCTAACCTGTTTGACTATTTAAAATGGGCAAAATTTAATTTCATAGTAGAACTGTGTACAGCGTATTAATTCACTTGTTCCTCAATGCCCACCTTTCTCTCTTTCTCACCTTTATCTTTATTTCATCATGAGACAGTCACACACACACAGTGACAGGGCTTACTGTTAGCATCACATGGCTAATGTTACCCAACAGTTATTAATGTGTATAATGAGCCAAATGAGCCGTTTTGGTGTCAGTGCCAGTGTGCTGGGAACATTAAATGGCTTGGTGTCAAATGTAAGCTGCTGCTGCTGTGCTGGCTAGTGCTAACTGGGCAGATAACAGGAGGACAGCAGCTCACAGACATCACTGTGTCAAATGGCAGCAACATTGCTGCACAACCCCAGCACCCCTACCATAACAAATGAATTCTAAATCTGTGGTAAACAGTTAATGCTCAGAATTATAGACTCTAAAATCAGGGACAGCATTGCAACTTTTTTTGTTGCTATTTTTACTTGTCCCCACAATTTCATTGAAAAAAAATGCCTAAAAACTAGGCATGGGCATTTTAAGTAATTTCCAAATTCAAATACTCACATTAAATTGTGAAAGAGTACTCATAAAAAATGTAATGTTAGAATAGGTATGTAAATTGGCCAACAACAGAAAAGAAGTGCAATATGAAATTCATTTATTGAACAATCAGGCTTCAATTAGCCTATTATACCAAACATTCAAAGTTAACATGAGAAAAATTAGCAAACTTTTTGTTGATGCCATTTATGTTGCATAGGTTAGAGGCAGCAATGAAGGGCCGTCTCTAAGCCACTACCCTCTTGGTCAGTTCAACGTCTGCCTGGTTAGTATGAGCTAACATAACATCTGACACTGAGCCATTAACGGCCCCAACAGCCCCCACCAACACTGAAACGGCTCGACTCTGTCATTAAACCCATTAATAACTAGTAGGTAACATTCGCCATGTAATGCTAACAGTTAGCCCTGTCATGCTGCTCATGATAAACAAAGAGCAAGAGAAGGACAGTGGGGCAAGGAGGTGCTGAGCAAAGCAATACACTACACACAGCTTTACAATAAAATAAGATTTTATCCATTAAAAAAAAGGTTCACATGTGTAAGGGGCTGCGGTGAGTACTCCATGGTTTGAACTAATATTGATGTCCAAATGAGTACTCGTGTCAGTCCCTACTAAAAATACTGCAGCATACATTGTAGTTTGTTTTTTCTTTCGAAAATCGTGGAGGGACAGATTGAATTTTTCTGCTGCCCAGCTCCTCAACCTCTCAGCTGCCCAGTGCTGTGAATCCTTTGCAGCGACCCAAGCCATCTGTCCAGCCCCCAGGCCATCCGCTTGTGGTCTATGGCTCCGCTGATCTCCATCATCCAGGCCATCCACCTCTTTGGATGGCCTGAAATGTTACATTTGCTAAATGAAGGTGATAGTATGGCCACTACAAAAGCTTTTGTGCTTGCACAGATTATTAGTTTGAAATCAGAGTGTTATGAATAATGGCTTCTTTTTGTCTGTACAAGGTTTCAGGAGTCAGAGTATTTATAAAGCTATGAAATTTGCATCACCTGGCCTTTCCTAACGATGACTGTGAACAAGCCATAGTCCTAGCAAGCTAATGAAGGTCTGAGACCCTGGTAAAAGTTGTCTAAGAGCTCTAATGTCTTGGGGTGCCCAAACGTTTGCATGGTGCTCATTTTCCTTTTTTAAAGAGGCAACAGATAGCATCTTTTCCTAAATATATCATTATGAAAATAATGTGGCTTGTGTGACAAGTGATATGGCAGACATGACTAGTCGCTCATTTGGGCATTATTCATTTATACTGATCCATGCCTCATAATTGTTTGTACGTCAATCTGACAGTATTTAGTTTTAGTTTCATTTTTGATTGTGAATGTGTTAATATTGATAACTAATGAGATTGTGTTTCAAAGAGGAGTACAGATAGGTGATGTAGAGCCACGTCTGTGTGGGTTAATTGTTCGCTGCTCTGTTAGTAATGTCTCGGGGATCCAGCGGGGGAGCGCGCATCTCTTCCTCACTCATTACAGACGAGTGAAGGCGAGAGCTGTATGTGTGTCACATTCATTCTTCTCCCGTCACTATTCCCCTTGTTTAAGGGCACAACACTTGCACAGGGTTGTGGCCACAGTAAAATCAGACTATCAGCGTTTACATAGGTTACTAGTGGCTTTGCAATCTTTGCAATAAGCTTCTGCCACCGGTGCCGAAATTTCGGGAAAAAATCTGCTTTACGGCAGGAAACGCGTCATGTATTGCGAAACTGGTCGGTCAGCCAATCAGGGACTGGAGCTGGTCCTTATGAGGCGTTGGGCATGAGATAGTTGAGTCACGAGCACAATGGCAGACGGACAAAGTCTGGAAACAAGTGAAAATGTGAAAATGGCCTAGCGAAAGAAAACAAGCTCCTCTGTCTGAGGAGGCAAAGAAGAGCAAAAAGGAGAGTGATAAAAGAAGAGGAAAAACAACAGTAAACCTCAGTCAGGCATTCAAGAGATGGAGGGAGCTCCGTGACCAAAGAGGCTTCAAAACCGATGTCCAGCTAGCTTTCTTTCTAATGGATCATTAAGTAACACGGCTAAATGTTAGCTAGACGAGAGAGGACTGTACTGTACTGGCTACTAGTTAATTCCTAGCTGGCCAGCATCGCAAATCACCGCAACCAGGGACTGGGTAGCGAGTGTTGGTCGGCTGACATCCTCCTTGCCATTCTACGGCAGCCCTGGGACATTGATACCCCCACCCCCCTTCCTTCTGTATAAAACAAAAAAACAAAACAAAAAAAATACGAATCCTATCTGTTACCTCTTTAAGTAAATAAAATTTTGATCAGGGGTCCCCAAAAGAAGATTTTTGGTCGCTGTTAAAATTCTTCTCCATCCTGACAGTTAATCAGTGCCTTCCTAGACTGATTACACTGTAATGCCTGGTTCACACTACACAGTATCAGCCCGATTATAGTCTGATGTAGCGTCGTACGGTGTCGACTCGGATCGTGAACGTCATATGCGATAATCCATCGTTTCATCTCGTGTAGTGTGTCGTAGTATACGACAACCGACGCCACGTCTGGGACGCCTCTCGATGTTCCGACAAAATGTCTAGCATGTTTGATTTTTTTTTTGTCATTCACGACTGCTCCTGTCACAGCCGTCACTTTGACCAATAGGAACACAGAGCGATCTGCTGCCGTAGACAACTGTACGACAACAACAACCCAGCATTTTTAATATTTCCTCTAGGGATGTTACCACACAGAGTAAAAAGGGAAAATGATGGTGTGAAACAAGAGAGGCACTTAATCAATTGCTGAGTACTGCCATTAGCATCAAGCTAGCAATGTAACAATGTAATTTCTTCATAATGGAGGATAGTAATTCAATTAAAATATAGCGGCGGGGCTTTTACTCACCACAACTGCAGAGGCTACCAGCTTCATTTGCAACAGACTACATTATAGAAGAGCCGTTATTTATTAATCCCTCTGTGTGTTTATATATTTACTTTTTATCCGCTCCCATTTGCCTTGATAAAGTTAATGCATTGCACCATCATTTCAAACTCAACACTTCCTGTGTTTGTTTCAAATTAAAAGCCCATTATAACTTTGGTTGTGAGACATTTGCAGGAACTTGCTGTGGAGGATTCAGTGTCTTGTATGTTAGTGTATGGTACTTCAAATGTAGCTCCTGCCATCTGCTGGGACTTTTTTAGTTAGTACAATAACATTTTGGCTGGCACATGAACAGACACAGTGACTGAAGTAATAGTGACAATGATGAAAATAGGACAAGAATAACCCGATGACATCACACACGCTGTGACTCCACAATCGTGTAATGTGAAATAGTGACTGTCAGAACAGACAGAAATGTCGTGTAGTGTGAACCAGGCATTAGACTAACCAACTGGGTAGTTATGAAATCCCTGTTTGTGAAAATGATTACAGCACATACACATGTGGTTAAGACTTTTTGTTTTATTTGGTGTCTTACGGTGAAAACATGGAAACACTCAGCAGACACAGTCCAATCATTCTTCTCATTCTCTCCATCTCGTCTGTAATATAACCCTCTGCCATGACACAGTACATTATACTTCAGGAGTTCAATGCCAATCCATTGTGAGGGACGTCCCTTATTAGCACTTGGATTTGGACAGTAAGCACTTTGTAGCTCATGTGTGGAGGTAAAGAGTTAACTGAGATATACAATCAAGCATATTTGAAACATGTGGGACACCACCCATTCACACTGATAATGGAGTCCAGATCAAATAAAACTGACTGCCTCCACCACAGACACAGACCAGGGCAGAACACATATTTCTGTGGGTTAGAAAATGTGGCTTCAGACATTTGTAAATTTGTTTTTCTCCACTCTGTGGATGACTGATAAAACACAAAAATAATTCAGCCAGCTCCTTAAAGATTGCCTTTGCTTGACTCCCTTTCTGGTAGGTTTGTGTATGTGTGTGTTTCTGTGTCAAAATCTAGGCAACACACCCCATTGGCCCCAAGTTTATCCAGGCATACCTTTGGAGGACTGATCCAGCTCCTCTTATTCAGTCTTGATAGGAAGCTGTTTGAAATGGGACACAGCTTTGAACAGATAAGACTGGTGTTATTTATTTATTTTTCTTATTGTTACATAAAGACCAAAATCAACACTGTGTTAGTCCATCCAATACTTTCTGGTTCCTAATGATGACATATATAGTTTCATTTTAAAAAAGGCTCAGTAATTTCCTAAAATAGGTGGTCACTGTAGTTTTTATCAAATGTTATTTAAACTCGAAGAAATAGTGCACTTGTTGAGAACTATTGTCAACAGTGGATTAATCCACATTTGGTGTTCTGGTCTTGTCTCTAATAGTTTTTGGACAACAATGGAGCTCTATGGCACAGAGGAAAAAGATACATCAAGTGCTGGGTACACTCACAATACATGCTAGTAGGATACATTTATTGCTGGTCTGCGCATGGAATTTGATAACCATAAGAAAAATGTAGAATATCACCAACCTTATCATTTAACAGGGCTGTTAGCATAGGCAGTGATAGCCACCATGGCTGAACAGACAGAGGAGGGCACCACCTGCAGGAGCTTAATCAACAAAACATTCCAAGGCAAAAGACGTCATGCTACTGGCCACACAGTTAAGACTGGCAAATCATTTTTGGCTGGGAGGTACAGTGCAAAAACAGCACAGCACTGAATACTGAGCACCAAAGACGGCAACAATAAGAAAAAAGAAATCTTAAGGCCCAGTCACACCAGAAGGTGGCATAGCAAAGTTCATTGCATGTCCTTGTAAAATAGGTAGTGCTATAAGCTTGGTGACACAGTGACTGTTTGCAGGATGAGTTTACAAACTACAGTAGCTGGCAAGCTAACTCATGGATGTGTCACTGGAGCTGGATGATGTGAAGAGTGAGCCTTGTTGCCAGTTTGCCTGAGTGGCCAGCCGTGGTGCTGCAGCAAAAAATCCTACGACCCGCAAGTCACTGACATGCTAACCAGAAAAAATGATGGCACTAGTCAGTCATGCTAGCTCGCCTGAACTAGCTTAATGGCTAACTACATTAGTTTAGCTAGCTAGTTAAATTGGTTGCTATTGGGACAGTAGGTTTACACAACTTATTCATAAGACATATTTGTACCTTCGACTTTTGTCTCATGAGCAGTGTAGTGGAGGGTACATGCAGGTATATGGGGTATAGCCACCTCTTTTCTGGCCATTGAGAGTATACCCACATATCAGCCAAAAATATATAGAGGAGCATACCAGGCCCCCAGGAAGTGCACCATGCTTTGAAGCCAGAGTTTGGCAGTGGCCAAACCATGGATGTATAAAGAGAACTGGATACAGCATTGGAGGCGAGGCCCCATTCAGTCCCATGTAAGCTGCTCAGTGGCTCCAACTGCAGCCAAGTGGGTAACTTCTGTCAGCTGAGCAGCTGTCTTCTGGTGTAGGCAGCCCCTAACTTGAATTGGAATAAAATGATTTAATTGTACAACTCTTCTAGACTTTGGAAATGTTATCGGACCGAATGGATCAAATTCTGATAGTGAAACAGATTATTTCACAGGGGTTGCGATGCTCAAAAAAATGTGTGATTTACAGACGTCTCTTTTGTGATGTAAGTCTATAGGAAAAATTCTTTTTGGGCCCCATGGCATCATGTGACAGACCTGGTCATTGTTATTTCACTTTTGGTCACTATGTAAAATTGGCATCAAAGCCTGGCGCTGTTCCTGGGTGGCTTGGGCCAAACAGTGGAATTACACCATCCTGTAATGCCCTGCAGCCCCAAACTACTTTTCCTCATAGACTAACATTGGGAAAGAGATATCTGTAAATCAACGGATACATTTTTTTTGACCGTCGCAACCCCTGCAAAATGACTTATTTTACTGTTGGGATTTAATCCATTATGTCTGACCACCACTGGGAACACTAAAAGCAAATTAAATCATCCCATCTCCCATCAAGTTAAAGGAGTGGTAACCGGAAGTAGCTAGCTTGGCCGGCTTAAGTCTCTAGTGTGCTTGCTCCATGGGCTGATCATCCGGGCAATTTTGTACGTGGCAGTTGAAACATTTTGGCTTCATGCGCCACTGAGCAACTATCATAAGAATGAAGGCCCTCCCTTCAATGCTGTATCCAGTTCTTTTTATACATCCATGGAGTATACCCACCTCCCCCTGGATAATCTACCCATCTACCTAGTAGTACACCCACCTCATCAACTACCACTACATCACTGATCATAAGTAGATAAAATCCTTGCCTCTTTTGTCGAGCAGTTTATACTCTGACAGAGGAGTTAATATAAAAGTGGAGCACAGCTAATAATGATAGCCTCTTTTGTTTTAGCCTCTCTGGCTCTTCATTCCTTCAAAGATCACCATGACAATTCACTATTGTTTAAAGGTTCGGAAGATAACTTTTATAAAAATAACTTTGTGATATATTTGCTGAAACTGTCACTACATCCTGACAATAGCACATGATACAGATAATCTGTGACAAATCATATTTATCTGGTTCCTCATAGTGCTGCTAATGGCATTTGCAAGAATCCACCATGCCTGAAAGAAATCAATCAATAAGGGCAAGGAGTAGTCTCTAATGCCATGTCAATCACTGCTCATGTAAGTTCAAAATTTAACTTGCCACAAAAGATTTGTGCAGATTTACTTTGACCCCACAAGCTTGTACACCCATTTCGCAGTTGAAATTAAAAAAAAATTAGCCACCAATTTGTTTTATTGCTGAGGTGACTGGGCCTTTACAGATTACAACTTTGACCAACTCTAATTTCTCAGTTTCAAATTTCAAACTGGTTTTACACTGATATTGTTCTTGACAGGATTCTAGAGATCAGACAGTGCTCTTTGTTACACATGGCAGATAGGACTGGCTACAAGGTGTGCACTGTATTTTTGTGGGTGTGTTTAGTCACTGGAGGTGACAGTAGACAGTACAGTGTGTGGGGACAGCATTGAGATTTTGGTGTCACTGGTTCCCTGGTTTCCCTTTAAGCTTGACAGCAGCAGAGGTTTTAGTACGGCTGGGTGGCTGAGGGGCAGAGGAAAGACAACCCGAACCTCATGGGACTAAGAAAGTAAAAGGCACTTCAAAAAATTGTAACAAATTCCAGTGTTACTAGATAGAATATATATATATATATATATGTATAGATATATACTGTATGTATACACAGGCATTGTCATATACGGAGGAATGCAAAGACAGAGTATAAACACTTTACTTTGAATACATATATATATATATATGTATATATATATATATACACATACATATATATATATGTGTGTGTGTGTGCGTTATATGTAATAATATATAGGTAACCTTTGTTGATCGTAGCTGGCAATAAAAGAAGGGGATAGATGTGATAAAGCGCATTGTGGTTTTTAGGTTTGTTGAGGTTTTTGTGAGGGCAAAACTCGTGGCAATAGGTTTCAGCTGCTGTGCACAAACTGAAGAGTTGCATAGGCAAGAAAACAAGTAGTTCCTAATCACTCAGTTTTGACCATTAAAAGTGGTACATAAGAAAGAAACAATCAAATACAACATAAAAAGTAAAGTGAGGAAGTGTGTTCCTATCCAAATGGATAGAACAGATTGCTTTAACTTCCATGAAGCAAAAAAAATAGTGTTATTTTTCCCCCTCATTATCAAAGAAGCAAGAGTCAGTTCAAAGTCAGCAGCTTACTTAGGCAGGGCATGATGGAATGGTATGTGTGTTACTAGACTGCATTTGCAGTGCATGTGTACATGTATGTCCAGGAAGCTGAGGGCTGGCACAGCTGCTGTGTGCTGACCCTACAGTTGGGTATCCTGGTACTGGTAGGAGTTGGCGGTGTAGTATCCCGGCACTGTCTCCTCCTCGGCCTCCTCCTCGCTGGGGTAGAAGGGACGTCCCTCCTTGGAGGATGGAGCAGTCTGGGGTTCAGGACAGGAGCTGGAGCTGGAAGGACACAGAAAATTCATTTTCAGTTTAAGGTGTGCTTCACTAGAATTGGCAGCACCATTTATATCAACCTTGACAGTGAAGTTGGTCCATCACTTTTGTCCAGGCATAACAACTATTGGATGAATTGCCATGAAATAATGTACAGGCATTCATGGTTCCCTGATGATGTATCCTAATGACTGTAATGATCACTGACTTTTCATCTAGTGCCTCCACGACATTGAGAATTTTGGTTTTATGTGAAATATGTTGACAACTATTGGATGGATTGCTGTGAACTTTGCAACAGATATTTAAGGGTCCCAAAGGATACATTCTAATTTGTTGATTCCCTGACATTCTCCATAATGGTGGTATGTTTTACAATGATTTATAGTTAACTGTCAAGCTGTTTCCCTTATGTTGTATTGAAGGCAGCACAGTCTTCCTTGCTGGGGCTGCAAAAGACATTCCCTGCCTAGTAAACAACTAAATCATTCAAACTCCACTTCTCTTGTTTATAATGCAGGTTGTCATGAATTTGTGGCCTCTAAGCCTCAACCAAGATGACCCTGATGACATCACTTATTTACTCAGACCTGACAAAGCTCCTCCAGACTAGAGCTTAGATCAGGCCCAAAAATTGCAGCCCGACCCGGCCCGAGCCCATGCACGTTGTGTCTGGGACCGTCCCGGCCCGTCCAGTTAACTGTAATTATGGGCCCGAGCCCGATTTAAACCCGTCATTTTTCAATAAGTTGGCTGTTATAATTAAGAGTGCCTGGGAACACACGGTGAGCGTGTTAGTGCCGCGGAAGTCCTGCGAGTGTACTCACAGGCGCTTGACTGTCCACACAGGCAGCGCATTTCTCCTGTGCTCTCCGCACCGGTTAAACATCGACTCCACTCGTCTGTTCCCGTCAGTACTCGTTTTTTCACTTCAACAGGTCATTTTAAACAAAAAACACAATTCTTGTCATTTGAATGATAGAAATATAGGATCTTAACTTTATGTGTCATACAAAGTGTGGTTTAATTTTACTTTTTATAATACATAGCCTTAACATTTTCATAAACAAATCACATTATATCTGACTAGGCCTGGCTTGGGCCCGTCAGAGGGGGGCGGGGATCCCGGCCCGACCCGGCCCGCGGGCCCAAGCCGGATCGGGCTAAGCTCTACTAAGCTCTACTCCAGACCCAGGGAAGACATTATACACGCATTTTCACAGGTTTGTGTGGTACTCCTCATGATGACGATGTAAACCGGTATCCTTTTTAATGTACTCTGCAGTATACTGCACTAACAATTTATTCTCCAGTACATTTCACAATATATTAAATGCATGCCAGTACCTTAGATCTGCTTACTATGCAACATAAAGGTAAAGTTATAATCCTTAAGATTTTCATGGAAATCAACCTCTATTTTTGATATTATTTATGTGCAGCATTTTTCATAATAGCCATTCAATTTTTACTGAGTCCTGGCAATGTGTGCATGACATCCGATGGAGGTTGCTCATTTTATGATAGAAAAAGGCAGATTGCTGACTGATTTCTTTATAAAACCTAAGTGGTTGCCCTGTAAACAGATATGTCAACTACTCTGTTGTTTTTCTGACAAAGTGGCTGCTCAAAGAGTACTACCGGCAACCACAAGTGTCTCCAAGTCAACCAGGACAAAATCTTAAGGATTATAACTTTAAAGACAGTTAGTAATCTGTAGTCTGTTACTTCTGTGGTCTTTAATACTGTCATCTGATCAGCGTTCTTTCCCTCTGGAATTTTCTCAAACAATTAGCCTGTCAGGCTGCATGATCAGTGACATCTTGTAAACTGGGAGGTTAGCAAACATAGCGGAGACACAAACATGCTGACAAACGCACTCACAGCAGAGCTCGGAAACAGTCGTATGGCAGTAGTGAGCCTACCCGATAGGCTGTGGACGACTGTGATCCAGCTTGGGTGTCTTCAGAGGAACAGCATAGATGTCTGGGTGCTTCTGAGCAATTTCCAACTGGAAACACAGATTAGTTGATTAAAGTCTATTATGATTGGTATCCAAACTAATACGCAGTTTCAGATTAGAACACAACTTTACAAATAATAATAATAATAATAATAATACAAAAATACATTTTACTTTAAGAACTAAACAAAATTATGCAAGAAAGAAGAAGGAACTGTTGAGGACACATCTATGACAACATCTTTTTCCCATTGAATATTTAAAACTTTTTCATAACTTATCCATATTTTTTTTTTTACCCCAGTTCTATAACTTTATTAAAGTAGTTTAAAATGGATAGGCCTATATAGAGATATATGGGGATAAAGTAACCACACACCCAGGTATTTGCTGATTAGCAAACTGCTAGCACTTGCTATCTTTACTTGCTCATTAGACGTTAGACAAAACATCAAAGCCAAACCTCGTTTTTGGGGGGGATAGGAAACCAAAGCTCACATGTAACTGCAATTTGACTTATGCCTGGGTATAGTTTTGAAAAAGTTTTTTTTTTTTTTTTTTTTTTTTAATAGATGTATCTAATAATTATTTTACTACCTTACAGTGGCATGAAAAAGTTTGGGCACCCTTGGTCAAAATTTTGTTTACTGGGAATGGTTAAATAAGTAGAAAATGCACTGATCTCCAAAAGGCATGAAGTTTAAGATAAAACATGCTTTTCAACATTTTAAGCAAGATTAGTGTATTATTTTTGTTCTGTACAATTTTAGAGTGAAACAAGGAAAGAAGCACCATGCAAAAGTTTGGGCACTCCAAGACATTTGAGCTCTCAGATAACTTTTACCAGGGTCTCAGACCATCATTGTCATCATTGTTCACAGTCATCGTTAGGAAAGGTCAGATGATGCAAATTTCAAAGCTTTATAAACACTGTGACTCCTGAAACCTTGTCCCAACAGTCAGCAGCCATGGGCTCCTCTAAACGGCTGCCTAGAACTCTGAAAACTAAAATAACTGATGCCCACAAAGCAGGAGAAGGCGAAAAGAAAATAGTAAAGTGTTTTCAGGTAGCTGTTTCCTTAGTTCATAATGTAATTTAGAAATGGCAGTTAACAGGAACTGTGGAGGTCAAGTTGAGGTCTGGAAGACCAAGATAACTTTCTGAGAGAGCTGCTTGTAAGATTGCTCAAAATATGAATCAAAACACCTGTTTGATTGCAAAAGACCTGCAGGAAGACTCATCAGACTCTGGAGTGGTGGTGCACTGTTCTACTGTGCAGTGACACCTGTACAAATATGACCTTCATGGAAGAATATTCAGAAGAAAACCTTTCCTGTGTCCTCACCACAAAATTCAGCATCAGAAGTTTGCAAAGGAACATCTGAACAAGCCTGATACTTTTTGGAAACAAGTCCTGTGGACTGATGAAGTTAAAACAGAACTTTTTCGACACAAAAGGTATGTTTGGAGAAAAAAAGGTGCAGACTAACTGTTTGGGATGAATCGATAATGCTTTGGGCTTGTGTTGCAGCCAGTGGCACAGGGAACATTTCACAGGTAGAGGGAAAAATGAACTAAATTACATTCCAGCAAATTCTGGAAGCAAACATCACACCATCTGTAAAAAAGCTGAAGATGAAGAGAGGATGGCTTCAACAACAGGACAATGATCCTAAACACACCTCAAAATCCACAATGAACTACCTCAAGAGGAGCAACCTGAAGGTTTTGCCATGGCCCTCACAGTCCCCCGACCTAAACATCATTAAAAATCTGTGGATAGACTTCAGAAGAGCAGTGCATGCAAGACGGTCAAAGAATCTCACAGAACTAGAAGCCTTTTGCAATGAAGAATGAGTGAAAATCCCCAAAACAAGAATTGAAAGACTTGTTGCTGGGTACAAAAAGCATTTAGAAGCTGTGATACTTACCAAAGGGGGCGCTACTAAGCATTGACCATGCAGGGTGCCCAAACTTTAGCTTCAGGCTCTTTTCCTTTTTTGTCATTTTGAAAATTTGAAAGATTAAAATTAAAAAATAATCTTGCTTAAAATATTGAAGGCATGTGTCATCTTCAACTTCATGCCTTTTGGAAATCAGGTCATCTTTTACTTACTTAACTCCTCATAGTAAACGAAATTTTAACCAAGAGTGCCGCAAACTTTTGTATGCTCCACTTGAGCAGAGTTCAAACACACGTTAGTGCCCAAATATGTTACTCATCCATTCACGAGACTGTTTGTACTTACATGTTTTAAATCAAAATGCTGTAGTAAAAATGAATGTGTTTGGGAAGTACATAGCATGCAACTGTATAAATGAGACCTGGATTACACTGAAGGAGTTGTGTGAGACTGTGTAAACAGATGTAGTTTTGGTGTTGTTAGAGGTCCCTTTTTACTTCAATTCATGAAAAATGTCGGTTGATGATTTACTGATTTGTTGAATTATACAAATCATTTAATTTTGTTTTATATCTTATGTTTTGGGTTTTATTTACTTCTATTTATTGTTTGTTTTTAATTGTAAAACACTTTGTAACTTTGTTTTGAGAAGTGATAAAGAACTTAAATTGATTATTATATTATTAATTGCCATTTTGTGACATAACAAGAAAACTGAAATATCGGTAAAACAAGAAAAAGGTTCTGGGTAAAACTTAATCACATTGTATGTAACAAAATATGACACATAGAGTACCTTGTGAGAAAATGAATGGATCTGTGTAAAATGAGAAACTAAGCAATTAATTTGTGTAAAACACTGTCGCATTTACTGTATATAATGTAAACTCAACTTAAAAAGTCAGCATCAGCTGACCACAGAGCTCAAATCAATGCCTCACAGACAGGAAAATGAGACCAGACCTGGAGACATGAGGGCTGGAGCATACAAATTCAGAATCAGAATCAGATTCTTAGTTAGTTGGCTATTGTAATTGCACCATTAAAAATGAATAACCTACATCTGTGACTTAATATGTAAAATCAGATCCAATCTAAGTCCCTGACCTCTGTTGTATGTAATACACGTCATGATACTACAAATGACCAAAGGGAATATTGAGCTATGCCCACCCTGGCATTCTGCGCCTCCTGCAGTTCCAGCATCCTTTGGGCTCGGGCAAAGTGATCCATCTTCTCAAAAGCTTTGATCTTCCCCAGGAAGGACCTCATGGACGGATCCTCCACAGAGCTGTCCTGTGCTGTCTCCCCCTGTTGCCTACAGGCTGCCACAATTGCACTGGGCAGAGCAGCGGGTGAGTGAACTGCAGCTTCTGCAGTACTCCCGCAACTGCTGGGCTTGGGTGTGGTGGGGGGTTGGGGTGCTCCCAGGGGCCACAGTTTGTTACTGGAGTTGAAGTGGTGAGCCGGAGGCAGGGGTGGAGGGCCAGAGGAAGCAGCTGAACGGGAGATGGGTGGTGGAGGGTCGTTGTTGCTGCTGGCTGGGCTGCTGCTGGACGGAGAGTCATAACTTCGGCTGGAGCTGGGGGGTGGAGGGTGGTGGTGACGGTGGTGATGGTGTGGGTTGGTGGAGCCTGATAGGAGGACTGGATCGTCCCTCAAAGACAGTTTCACCTGACAAAAGAAGGGGAAGCATTAGGGCCAGAACAGTTTGTGATGTTCCAGATTCTCTGGTAGAAATCTGACTTTTTATAATAAGAGAGGTACAATCTGTAGTTCTAGCCCACAGCAATGGGCAAGTCCTTCTGATGTTAGCAAGGAGGAAATAACAGGAGCAAGCTACTCCTTGGTGAGAATGATGGTTTTTCATCCAGGGTCAAACCCAGGATCTTTGCCGTGCAAGTTAGCACCACCACAATGCTGTCAGTGGTTGTGGACAGGATCACAAGCTCAGTCTTGTTCAGGCTGAGGTTTAGGTGCTAGGCAAGCAGCAATGTATGAGTGTCAGATAGTTGGGTGTCATCGGGATAGCAGTGGCAGGAGAAGCCACGCAAGTGTATGAGAGCAACAAGTCCTGGTGTTTTGGTATCACCCTATTAACTTCAGCCAAATTTAATTCCAGGAACTCATGCCCAAAGCAAGCAGAGAACAGTGGAAACAAAAGCAGAACTAGGCTAAACCGATTGCCAATCATATATTGATGATTGAGGGCGTGATCATTTGTTTTTTTCCTACACCAATATTAGGGTGATTTTAACTAACTTACCTCCAGAACTAATGATCTTTAGAACCCATGCCCTTCTGTGCATTTACAGATGTTTATAGTGGAGTGGCATGTCTGCCCACTGTGTCCCATTAATAAGCATGAGTGAATTCTAAATCCTTAAACACAAACCAGTGTGTTGTGCTACTTAAGAGTAGTTAAAATAATTAAAATAATGTGGATTCAGATGTTACTGTATTAATGTTAAACAGAACATGATGCTATATTGTTGCACCAAGCACAGACACACATACCCCTTTTTGACAGGCATGGGCTGGGTTGGCTTGGTGTGGTTTGGGCCATCAGCCCAGTGCAGCAGGGATTTGCATTTCCACTACAACAGGGCTACCTGCTTGAAGGTGTGTCTTTTACTGATGATGGCTTGTCTTGGGTGATGACGTTTTAAAAGCAGTAGGCCAATACATGGCTAAAGTCCCCTGTTATTTTGTATTTTGCATTTGCTATTTCTCATAGATTCTTTACAATAAAAGTCCTCCGTAATTTCGTTATGTAAAAACTTTTATTGTGAAGCAGCAAAATGTTGAATTTTTGAGCAGCAACTTCGCACAACTAATACAGCGGTTAGTGAACATGAAACAGTAAGATAAAGCAGATATCTGAAGTAAAAACAGGACGCAGGAGAGAAACTAAACTCCATACCACAGAGATTCAGTTAAGCTAAAAAAATACTGACAACTGAACACACAGAGGCTTATAACAATGCCTTTCTCTCTGGTCTCCTGCAGACAGAGATGAGTAGAGTCTTGCAACACGCTTGTTTGAGGGGGAGAAGTGGGGCTGTCGGGGGTTCGCTGCAGTCGGCAACATGTCACCGCTACCTGGCTTGGCTTTTGGACCTACTCCATAGAACGTCAATCTCTGGCACAGCTCGGTGTGGCATGGCACGTCCAAACTGATAATGGAAACAAATCGGTGCAGCATGGCTTGACTCGGCACAAGCAAATATGCCAGTGGAAAAGGCCCAACACACTTCAATAGGAGCCATTGTTTGAATAGAGAAGAAATTATTATCAAATAGATTTTTTATGTTTAAATATTTTAATTAAATAATGAATTTTATTCAAAATCTTTAATTCAAATGCTGTGACATAACTTTCCCCAACCCCTCCTACCTCCGCTGCCCCCTGGTGGTCAGTTCGCCTATTAGTGGTCTCTATTAGCCACCACTGGACGATATGAAAACAGAGACTATTGCCAAGCCCTGAGCAGACCCAGTGAAAATGGATGTACTGTTTGTTAACTTACCTTTGGTTCTTCCTGCAAAGATGAAACCATTCTTAGAAATTCTACAACATTATCATATTCAACAATTTTTATATTCCACGAACACTACTAGATCTAGTCGACCAGTTGGGATTTAGGGTTAGTGGGTCTGTTCTAGTGGTAGCCTGGTGTATACAGCTTTGGCAAAGAAAAAATTGTGGGATTGATCATTTCGGGTTTACACCAAAAGACCTATTTATGAAAAACACAAATATATTAACACTGTGGATCAGAGTTGAAAGCTACACTGAAAACTTTGGCTAAAAGAGAGTAAAGCACTAAAAAAAGTGTTGGTTACACCACTGAAGTGACAGTGTTTTCATTCCAACCAAACAGCAGCTGCTAAACAACTTTAACTGTTTACTCACTGAATAGAGATGAATGTTTGACGTTAGCTGCTGTGATGTGTTGTTGGAATGAAAACATGAACACAGTTTAATGTTGAACAACACTGCTAAACACAAGCCTGCCACCATGTACCAATAACTGGGGGGAATTCTGGGTATCCATCTGGTCCAGTGAGCTGACGTAGGAGGACTCTGAACTGCAGGAAGAGCGGTATCTCCGTATCAGGCCATTCCTCAAAGGGAAGGGCAGTTTGTTCCGTTCAATGGAGGTATAGAGCTGCCGGGGTGGATGTGCAGGTTAGAGTCACTGTAAGCAGTCATACTTACTGTTTGCTTCTGAGAAATAATATAACCTGTGATTGATTTATGACAAAACATTTGTTTTTGTAAAATGTAAGAGTTGGATATATTGGACTCTTGCATGTTTTGTTAGACCCACCAAACTAAACTAGAGCTTCATTTGAAAGGTAATCATAAGAAGCACAGCACTGCAACCATGTCAAACCACAACCAGCCTATTGTATGATTCTAACTTAACATATTTAACTCAGAGGCAGACAGATCCTTTCTGTTTACACTTTGATATCCTTACGTAACCTTTTAATTCATATAATAAAACTGCAGTAATACATTTCTTGCCGACTTGGTGGCAGGGTCTGGGTTAATTTTAGTTAAGTTAGTTATCATGTTATCCTATACAGTTGACATGGTAAATACGTTCAGCAGACACAGAGCAAACTCACGGTAGAATTTAAAAATAATGGACTTAGCCGCCAAATCATCACCCATTGGTTTTTGGACTCCTGCTTTAAAGCCTCAAGTTTGGCATTTTGGCTGTTGCCATCATGGATTTTTGGAGCCAGAAGTGACCAAATTTGGGTAAGAAGGTGGCGATAACCCTAAAGCTAGCTGCTAGCTTAGTTAGCATGCTGTAATTACAGATATGATTAACTGTGATGATACTAATGCTAATTTTTGCTATCAAAAAACAGGCTAAAAACCATTAAAACAAAATGAACTTACTGGAAAACTGAAAGTATAGCCTACCTGACTCCTTAAAGATTCTTTTAATATAATCAAACGCTGAACTAGACTTTTTTAGACAAGCAAAATGTTACAGTTAACTTTCATTAACTGAAAACATGTAGAGCTAAAGTTTGTTAATATGAGGTTATACCATTACTTAAACAATGGTAGCAACTTGTCCATGGATGGCACCCACAGTGTCAGTGCCAGAAACAGTGTTTCCAGCAGTAAGTGGAGTATTACCTCACAGATGTACTGTGTGTGTCTCTCACCTTGCTGTCTGTTAAGAAGGCAGGTGGAGGGCTGGACCTGTTTAGGACATCACGGCTACTGATTTTCCGCATGCGACTCCTGATGTCTGGACTGTACCTGCGCAAGATCTACACACACACACACACACACACACACACACATTCATTCATCACTACACAGGACAGGTCAGCTGGCAGAGTCATGATAGGGCTTGGTTTCTAAGCAATTGTTCCAGAGTACCGGAGCCCTCAAAGGGAAACTTGTCTTGACAGACTAAATTCAAATATCTATTTTCCAAAAAGTCAACATTTTGAACTGACCCTGAAGAAATGTGTAGTCTAGACAGTATCTACACAATACAGTATGTGTCTGATTTGCTCTGCTTCCTCATCATTCCTCAAACTTTACACTGCACAGGTGTACGTATTAACCTGATAACTCAACGCATTATGTGAAAATATGTTTGCTGGTTTTTGGTTTGTTCATTAAGTTTGCATACAGAATAACTCCTTATTCTAGAGGTAAATGCAGTACATTGTAGATACAGACTTTAAAGATTAAGATTAAAGTTCCATGATTGTCACACACCTGAGTGTGTGAAATTTGTTCTCCGCATTTGACCCATCCCCTGAGGGAGCGGTGAGGCGCTCGGGAATCATGTGGTGATCTAACCCCCCAATTCCAACCCCTAATGCTGAGTGCCAATCAGGGTGGTAATGGGTCCCATTTTTATAGTCTTTGGTATGAACCGGCCGGGGATCGAACCCACGACCTCCCAGTCTCAGGGCAGACACTCTACCACTAGGCCACTGAGCTATGATGGTGCCTCCTTTTCTGGTAACAGATGAACAGAAGCTACAATCTGGGAACTCATCAGCTAATGACAATAAGCCTCTGGGGGCAACAGCAATTATTTGGGGGGCTCCAGTGTAGCCAGAGGATATGTGAGCCAAGACTTCCTGTTCTGTGTACTGCTCATTGTTTACAGTTCTATTATGGGAATTTGAGACAGGTCCAAACAACATTTCAGCTAATCTCTATACAGATATCTGCATGTAATTGCAGATACATTTTTAAAAAAGAAGAAGCAAATATTAAGCTAAATCATCATCAGACAATAGTCAATTGGTTCTGAGACTGCATTTCAGCCAATGTGTAGCGCCTCTTTTGCTCTCCATGACTGATCAGTGCAACTTGGACAACAAACAGACTACATAAGGAAACCAGAATGCTTTGGATACCAAATTGTGTCCCATTTGCTACAGATTCTGCATACATATGCAGATATCAGTCATGCTTATAGAGACTACAGAGGCTACTGCTAGTTATATTTTTCTGTCATAGCAGGCTTGACGCTGTAATCCCTAATCTGCACTACAGATGGCAGCACTATACTGGAGTGAAAGGAGTGAAACTTGGAGGACTGAGGTCTGGATAAGGCTGCGTGTTTATCTTAGCACATATTTGACATGTGCCTTAACAAATAAATATTATCATAGATCACTTAAGACTTAACTAGGACAGTTAAGAAGTGCTATGTACAAATGAAATAGGAAAACGATGATTAATAAATGAGTTTGTTGATAAAAATCACAATAGAAGAGAGTCCTTTGAAAAAGCCTCCTGACCTTTAGTGTTCAGCCAGGGCTTAGGAGTTGGCTGACTAGCAGTGGTGTAAAGTAACTGAGTCCATTTACTTAAGAACTTTATGTAAGTTAGTGCCCACCTTCAAACCCAAATGTTATCGACCACCATCCATGCCTGAAATCTTAGTGTAGTTTCAGACTCATATAAAATCAGCCCGAAGAATGGATTAGACAGCTGCAGCTGATTTGGTCAGCACCAAGACCACCAAAGTGTTTCATTAATTCTAGTTTATTTCTATCTGTCTTGTGTTTCTTTATGCCCTTTTATGTCTTATTTAAACACTTGGAATTCCCTTGTTGTTGAAAGCTGCTTTACAAGTAAATGTGATTCACCTTACACTTGAGTAGTACTTTGCATGAGTATTACTACTTTTTATTGTTACTTCGTACTTTGCAGATTAATATTTTACACACAAACTGTCTCTATGAAGGCAGGATTTTATCCTGCAAGTGCAGCCATTTAGAATACATAAGTTACGCCTTTAGATGTGGTTAGATGACACTTCATATTAACTTGTATGTTTGAAGCATGTTAAACATTATACTAGGTGATATATGAGTATGTGACCAAATGTCTCCCCTTATGTTCCTGAATTTTCCTCAAGGCCTTCCTTAGATATCATGTTCAAGAGAATAAGAATGTTGCCAGGTCACAGTAGCCTTGACCTTTGACCACCAAATTCTTATCAGTTCATTGAAAAGTCCAAGTGAACATTTGTGCCAAATATAAGGAAATTCCGTCAAGGCGTCATTATATCACTTTCATGAAAATAGGGCATATGGATGGATGGATAACCCCAAAACATAATGCCTCTGACCATGGCTGTCACAGATGCAGAGGCATTCAAAAAATTAAGTGATTTTATTATACACTGGCTGTATAGAACTCTGTGTGTGTGTGTGTGTGTGTGTGTGTGTGTGTGTGTGTGTGTGTGTTTGACTCTGACCTCCTCAGCTGTGACAGGCTCAGACGAGCGACTGATGGCAGAGATGTGCATCATCTCGACATCGGGCTCATTGTCAGTGTAGGCCCCGCCCTCGTCAGCGGTGTCGTCGAGGTCAGATGTCAGCCGGCTGTCCATGCTGAGGTAATCAGCGGACATGGCAGACAGGAAGGACAAACGCTCCACGTCCTGGCAGTCCAGATCACTCTCTACTCCCTCCAGCTAGAAGAGACACATGATGGATCTTGGGTGTACAGGAAAGAAGGATGGACAGACGGATAGCACGAGAACAAGAGAGAAGAAAGAAAGACAAACAGAGCCGAACTGTAGAGCACTACTGGCAGGAAGTAGGAAGACATACAGTGAGCATGCTCAGAGCGCACACACAGGTGGCTGCTATGAAGGTGACATGAAGATAGAAGGGTGTCAGTCCACTACACACTGATGAGACTGAATAAGAACAAACTATGAGATACACCTAGCTACAACTAATACAGTGTAATCCCACAGTCCTGTAAGAAATCAGTTCAACTGTATGATCATTGTGGAGGATGGAGTTTGTGCTGCTGTTGAACTGGATGGTGTTATACAAAGTGTTTCTGTTATTCAGCCTCCCCTCAATTAGTTAACTTGTAATAACGTATACTTTAGAAATAAAAATACACTGCCTGACAACAGAGTGAGTCTTGCAACCACATGAGCGATCAGACAGAATTTAAAGTAACAGTTAAACCAACAGTATGAACTAAACAATATATTTGGTTGCAAAAAACAAGAAAAGTAAGTTAATGGCCAAATATCTGTTACAAATGTCTACTAGAGCTACAGTATGTCAATTCCAGCGTGACCTTTACTAACTGTAACTGTGTGCAGTGGATGACTCTAACAGACTAAGTGCATTCTCTAATATGAATAAAGTGGGGAATTATTTAAGATCTGACTGGACCAGTGGTACCCCTAGAAATTTATCATAAAGGTGGCCAGATGGAGTCACTGTAAATCTTGCGTTGACACACCAAAACCAAAAGTCATTTCTGAATTATGCTGCTGAGGCTAGTTGAAAACTGTCAATAGTTAAGAAACCACATGCTAATATATTTTGGTTTCTTATTTTGCAGTTTATGTTAGTAATTATATGATGTGCGTAGATAAATACTGACCCTGTTAATATTTTAGGTCTCACAACAACCCTGATGGAATGTGTTATGTATCTATACATGTTTGGCGAATAATTGTTCTTCAAATAGGCTGGTTGTCCTTTTCCTTAAAAAGACAAATAAACAGATTTTATTTGAGGGAGTACACTGATTTTAAGAAGCAAAACATTAACTGGGAGCAAGTCTACTAAAGACTCATGGATACCCGTGTAGCCCAATCTCATTCAGATATGTTAAGGTGAAAGTTCAAGGGAACCCTTTGAAAATGGTCATGCCAGTTGTTCCCATGCCAAGGTTTAGCCTAAATTTTGCGCATTATTTAGCCCCATTCCCAACAAGTTATGCCAACATGGTTGTCTAGTTTTGCAAGATACCACACTGTGGTAGCTTGAAGAATGAGCATGTTACAGCCTCAAATTATTTTTGCCAGTAGGTGCTAGCAGGTATGTCAGGGTGGCCATGTAGATCTATTTCGACCTCACTTCTGATCGTCACCACGGTCTTTACACTGAATGATGCCATCTCCTAACCTATCTGCGAGGCCAATAATAACAACAAAGTCATGTGACTGACCTTAGAGGCTGGCCCGAAGGCTATAAAGGATCCGGTGACAAATGCCTCTTCCTCTTTGCCTTTCTCGCCTCATCTGAGACCGGTAAGTTGTGTCTGTTAGGAGACCATAATCCATCACATTATTCTGCAGGAGCTCGATTTTCAATGGTTTTCCTTTGATATTTGCTTGTATTGTTGCTGTTGGCAGGGTGCCAAGTTGCATCTCGACTACGTTTGTGTTAACTTATTTTGTTTGCAGGTAAGGTTAAGTGATATCACCTGCTGATGGTTAATTGCTCCCACAGCCTGCTGGTGTTGGGTAAGTCATTTAAATTGCTGTTTTTTTCGACTGGAGTGTTTCGAAGAACAGGTAAATCCAGTAAATTTAAGTTGGGAGTTATAACATTTTCCCCTCTGCATTTTTGCAGGTTCTTTTCTTTATTTCCCCCCTGTACGTTTGCGTACTAGAGTGGGGAGTTAATTATGGAAGCAAATGATAGCTTGGATAATTTAAGTTGTATGAATTACATTCAATAAAAATCTTGAGTTCTGAGAATGTATAATTATTTCCCTCCTGCTGTTTTGCAGTTGAGGTGTTTTTGTTTTTACCTTAGTTTTCCTCCTGGTACACTGTATGTAGGAGTGATAATTTGAGTTTCATGTCCTGCTTGAGCAGTTAAGGTTTTTCTTGTGTGCAGTTTTCTGTGTTCCCCTTAGCCACTGTGCGCAGTGGTGGGATTGACTGGTTAGACCCCTTGTATGTCCGAGTGGGAGTGGGTGAATTTAATTTGATTGCATTAAGTGGACTTATTGTACTTATTGTATTCCACTTATAGTGGAATTATTCTCATTGGCCACTGTTCGCAGTGGGTGGGATTGGACATATTGCTGACAGCACCATGGCTCCTCAGGTATGTCGTTTTTGCGGCACAGCTTTGGACCTGCATGATGGCCACCGTGAGTGTCCTTCCTGTTTAGGTAAGGCACATGTATTGGATGATGTGGAAAGTCCATGTCAAGCGGCACTTGTTTCGCCTTATGAAGAAAGGGCCCATAGGGCTAGACTAGTGCAGCAGTCTTCCCATCCTGGGGAAGCAGTTTCCTCCCCTGGTGGTGAGCGGGAACGTAGTTCTGGGCGACACTCACACAAGCGCAGACTTGAGCAGTCCCATGGGCGTAGTAAGAGAAAGCAGGAGTGTGTGCAATGTGCATTCATTCGCACTATGGTGACACAACAGAGGTCTATGGCCGAGCAGCACCAACATCAGTCTGCTTGGGGTTGCGGGGAGTTTTCGACACGTGGCAGGTGTCAGAGCTCAGGGGGCCAGGGTCTTAGGGGTGCTGATGGAAGGTTGCGTCAGCAACAGCAGGGGTTTCAGCCTCGTCCTCTGTCAAGAGGGGCTTCACAAAGGAGGCGCCCCCCCCAAGGGTCCAGGGACCCAGGGGGCTTCTGCAAAGGGATGTTGGGACATCTGCCAGGATTCACTCCTAGCTACGCCTGGACAGCTGGGAGAAGGAAATCTCAGACCCTTGGGTGTTGGCAATAATCGCAAGGGGTTACAGAATTCAATTCCGGCGGCATCCCCCACTTTTTTCCAGGGTCTGCATGACATCTGTAAAGGATCCAGTCCAGGCAAAAGTCCTGTCCGACGAGATCACAACACTACTTCAGAAGGACACAATTGTGAAGACAGGTCCCAAAGAACAGCACACTGGCTTTTATTCAACATATTTCCTGGTTCCAAAGAAAGATGGTGGGCTTAGTCCTGTCCTAGACCTCAGGCCCCTAAACGCCTTTCAAAATGCTGCATACGTGTCACATAATGGAGTTGATAGAACGAGTGGAGTGGTTCACCACTATCGATCTCAAGGATGCCAACTTTCACGTTCCCATTTGTCGGGAACACTGGCAGTTCGCCTTTCAGGAACAGGCATACGAATTCAAGGTCCTTCCATTTGGTCTCTCCCTCTCTCCAAGGGTCTTTACCAGGGTGGCAGCAGCCGCTCTGATGTTGCTCCAGAAGGCAGGCTTAAACATCCTCCCGTATCTGGACGACTGGCTGATCTGTGCTCCATCTCGTGAGCAGGTCAAACGAGATACCGAGAAGGCCCTGTCCCACGTCCAGTTACTCGGCTTTAAGGTGAACGTGGAGAAGAGCAACCTCAAACCACAGCAGGAAACGGTCTTCCTGGAGCTTTGCCTGAATTCTGTAATGATGAAGGCATCTCTTACCCCTCAGAGGGTAGCGAGTCTGCACGTAGTGTTGCGCATCTTTCGTCTGGGCCAATGCCTGGAGTTGGTGCCGTTTCAGAGACTGCTGGGGCTGATATCAGTAGTGGTGGTGGTGATTCCACTGGGCCTGCTCAAAGCCCGCACTCTACAGCGGTGGTTGAATGCTTTCAACCTTCGTCCATGGAGGGACAGGCATGTGAAACTCAGAGTGACTCAGTCTTTGCGTCAGAGCTCTGCATCCATGGCAGGACTGCAGGCTGCTCATGCAGGGGGTTCCCTTGGGCAATCTGCCGTCAAGAAGGTCACTAGTGTCCACAAATGCCTCCAGGACAGGCTGGGGAGCAGTATGGGAGGCAGAACAGTAAGAGGTGTCTAGGAACCACCTTGGGACACAGAACATACCAATGTGCTGGAGCTGAGGGCTGTGTACCTGGCTCTCAGTGCATTTCTTCCATTCATTCGTGGCAGGCATGTTCTGGTGAAGACGGACAGTTCCTCCACTGTGTACCACATCAACCATCAGGGGGGTACGAAGTCTCTGTATTGTCTCAAAATTGCACAGAGTCTTCTGTCTTTGGCCTTTCCACGCCTGGCCTCACTCAGGGCCTTGTATCTGCCAGGAGTACTGAATCTGGCTGCAGATCTTCTGTCCAGGACCAGGCCTCTCTCGGAGGAGTGGACACTGCACCCGGAGATGGTGGCAGGCTTGTGGGCTCGCTTCGGCATAGCCCTGGTAGATCTGTTTGTGTCACAAGAGACAACTCACTGCCAATGGTGGTTTTCCCTGAGGCATCCAGGTGGTCCCTTGGGCCTGGGAGTTGTGGGCTTGGCCTCTTCCCAGCCCATCACTCAGGGACTGAGTGAGGCTGTCTTGGAGACTATAGGCAACACCAGAGCGCCCTCCACACGTGCTAATTACAATCAAAGATGGAAGTTGTTTGAGTCATGGTGTCATAATAAGGGTTTGGATCCTGTCACCTGTTCACTGGCTTCGGTGCTGCTTTTCCTCCAGTCACTGCTTGATGCAGGTAGGGTAGCCAGCACTTTGAGGGTTTACTCTGCTGCTATATCCGCTTTCCATGAGCCGGTGGGGAGTCTTTCTGTAGGGAAACACCCCATGGTATCCCAATTTCTGAAAGGTGCTAAACGTTTACGTCCAGGCAGGACTTTGAGAGCTCCATCTTGGGACCTCACTTTGGTGTTGAGGTCTTTGGCTGTTGCCCCATATGAACCTCTGGAGCAGGCAGATCTGAAGCTTCTGTCACACAAGACTGCCTTCCTCCTGGCTATATGTTCTGCCAAGAGGGTCAGTGAGCTACATGCACTATCCGTGAGTGAGGAGTGTTTAGGGTGGAAAGCAGAGAATGCAGGGGTGTTTCCTTGGCCACACCCCTTTTTCCTCCCTTAGGTGGTAAGTCCTCAGACTGTGAATCAGGCAATTGAAATAAATGCATTCCGACCTGATCCTGCCTACCAAGGGGGTGTTGCTCTTGATACTTAGCGTCCAGTCAGAGCACTGAAGGCTTATGTTGAGCGTACTTGGTCACTGCGATGGTGTAAAGCAGTTGGGCCTACCGTTGTCCAAGCAGCGTCTGTCCCACTGGTTGGTGGAGGCAATCTCTCATGCTTACTCCAGCCAAGGTTTTCCAATCCCTGACGGTCTGGTGGCCCACTCCACACGCAGTGTGGCCACTTCATGGTTTTATAGAGTCAATGTGACATCCGTGGCACTTGGTGCCACAGTTCTCATATCAGCCACCGAGCAGGTTGGGGAGGTGTTGGACTCCTCCGTTCCTCGTGACAGTGTTGGTATGAGTCATCCCCATTGTAAAGACCGTGGTGACGGTCAGAAGTGAGGTCGAAATAGATCGTAAGTTATGTCCATAAGTATGGATCTATGAGACTGAACGATGGAAGAGGCATTTGTCACTGGATGCTTTATAGCCTTCAGGCCAGCCTCTAAGGTCAGTCACATGACTTTGTTGTTATCATGTCTTGCAGATAGGTTAGGAGATGGCATCATTCAGTGTAAAGACCGTGGTGACGATCAGAAGTGAGGTCGAAATAGATCCATACTTATGGACATAACTTACGTTATATGACTTGGCATTTTTATACTGTTGTTTTCTTGATTTGTTCTTAAATCTGTTTTCCATTACAGTAATGCTGAAAATTTGACATCTGCATATTTGTATAATCAATCAATCTTTTTTTTTTTTTTTTTTAAAGCCCAGTATCACAAATCACAATTTGCCTCAGAGGGCTTTACAGCATATGACATCCCTCTGTCCTTAGGACCCTCACAGTGGATAAGGAAAAACTCCCCCAAAAAAACCCTTTAACGGGAAAAAAATGGTAGAAACCTCAGGAAGAGCAACTGAGGAGAGATCCCTCTTCCAGAACGAACAGACGTGCAATAGATGTCATACAGAACAGATGTCTTACTGACTAAGGCTAAAGCCAACAAGGGCAAAACTAGAAACCGACTTTGGAGCCATGGTGGGAGCAGTTGGCTGAAAATAATACTCAGATTGCACCAATGTCCAGAGATTGTGTAATGTTTTTAACAAACAGAAACTTAATTTATCAGGATAATGTGAAAGATGCTTTAATTACACTGAAGTGTTATACATGGGGCATTTGATTCCCTCGTGATCCCTGACTGATGTACGAAGTGGGAGCCTGTGAAATCAACATTTGTGTATGTGTGCTTGTGTGTGTGTGTGTGTGTGTGTGTGTGTGTGTGTTTACCTTGCCGTCAGAAACCCAGACAGCCTGCATCTGCTGCTCTCTGACAGACTCTTTGACACTGCCATACCAGGCGTCGTTGGCAGAGTTCAGATCGATGGTGGCTGGATGAGAAAACCAACTAACCTTAGCAAACACACTAATATAATTGCAAATATACAGCTCCAGCAGTACTACTAGATATTACACCTGACTGAACATGTGTATGTGTGTTGACTGTACCAGTGAATAAGTGAGAGCAGGTCTTCCTCAGTTTGACGGCTTGTTCATAGAGTTTGCGGGCGCTGCGGTTGGAGTTGGGGACAATCCTCTGTCGCATGGCCTTGATGCCGTGCTTGCTGTCTGGGTTGAAGAAGATGACAATGGGGTACCACTGGGTGTAGTTCAGGGTGTCCACTGCCTTGGGGGTCACGTCCAGCAGGGCATGCTTGTCCTGTGTGGTGTGAGGAATGGGACCACAAGGTAATGATAAACACTGTTAATGGAGGTCTAGGATGATATATGTCCTCTGTTCTCAAATCTGTCTTGCAAAAAAGATGTTGATCTCAATGAGATGTCCTCAATAAAAGTGTACTATTGATGAAACATAGATCACAGTTGTTACGGGGTTGGTTATTGTATACTGCAGGACGTTGGTTGACAAAATCCTTTAAACCTACATTACATTAGGGATAGAGATTAATAAACTTCAACAGTTCTCTCCCCAAAATGAATGTACACTATTGGACATGACATTCAGTAGATACAAATGTGTGTGTGTGTGTGTGTGTGTGTGTGGGCACCTGCTCAATGATTTGTCGGATGGTGTTTAGGCGGACCACTCCTGAGGACTTCTCAGAGCCAGCATCTTTCGGCTCGGTTTCTAACAACACAGAAACAATAGAAAGGGTCTTTAGAAACAATACTAGGACAACTATTCAGTTGGGGAGGAAGACTTTGACACACAAACATATGGACAGAAAGAGGCTGGCAGAGACTCACTGGCAATAACAAACAGATCAGGCATCTCAGAAGCCAGTTTCTCATTGGCAGCATCAGCGATGGGTCCGAACAGCACCACAGGACGCTGGAAACCAGCTGCAATGACACGCTGTTGATTATAGTGCTGCTCATAGTTTAGAACATTTATATCATTAACCAAAGCACACACACACACACACACACAGATTGATACAGCTCCAAGTCCACTGAAAGTCAGGTGGTCTTATACAGATCTTGACTGATACTAGAAGTCTGTGATACCAATATCAATATTGTAATAAACAAGCTATGTAGTAAGCAGCACATTTTACAGTATAAAAAAATGCTCTCTCTGGTGGACAGACTGTAATCACATTCAGAATAACACTAGAATTAATGCCCCATGGTTGTATGCCTCCAAGCACTAGTCAGGTTTCTCTTACAGTTTACATCCATGTCTGTAAAAACATTGACGCTTCACACCCTTCTTCCCCTTGACAGTGGAGAAGAGCTATACAATCAACACAGTCTCAAGGTGGGCACCCAAGATTAGTGTTTACAATAAAGTATATTTATATAAATATTTCCCCTTTTGTTTCTGAGATATGACACTGAATAATGGCCAGAAAAGTGTTTTATGTAGAACATTATAATGTCATGTCAGTGTTAATAAATTTAAAAAAAATTCCTTGAGCTGTTCTAGTGATTTGCGTTCACGAGAATGACATGGAACCAAGGTCACAGTGACCTTGACCTTTGACAACTGACCACCAAGATGTAAGTAGTTTATCTGCAAGTCCAAGTGAATATTTGTGCCAAATTTGAGGACATTCCTTCAAGTCTTTCTTAAGATATCACATATCACGAGAATAAGACAGACAAGGTCACAGTGCCCTTAACCTTTGACCTATGACTACCAAAACCTGATCAGCTCATCGGTGAGTCCAAGTGAACATTTGTGCCAAATTTTAAAACATTCCCTTGAGGCATTCTTGAGATAGTGTTCACAAGGATGGGATGGACGGACAACCCGTAAACATTATGCCTCCAGTTGCAGCTATTGGAGGCATAAAAATATTTTATTGCTACCGAGGGGAAACTGTGATATGTTGCAGTAACTCTGATGTAAAGCATAGAGAATTACAGAAGTAGAAATAAGTATACAGTACTAAGTATGTAAAGATATAAAAATAAAAAATATTTGTATTATTGCTACAATGTTTAACACTAATATGTAAAATATTTAAAGATATAAAATGGGTATAATATGCTGAGTATGTTGAGGATATGGAAATATAAAAATATGTGCCTTATGCTACATTACAATTTATAAAACTAGCATATAAAGTTTAGTATATAATAATATGTGTATTTTGCTAAAATGTACAACACAATATATACATAAAATAAATAAGAACTAGAAATATCTACAATATGTGCAACATATGTTAAATATACATTCAGCAGTGTTATCGGAATGGAGACATGGGGACATGTTATATATATTTAAGAGACTTATACATATCTTTTACATTTCTGTACTCACATTTCTTGTTACTTATCGATCAACATATTCGCCAATACAATGTATCTGTGAATAGCTATAATCAGATAATATTAGCGATGCCAATATGGGTCCACTGTTATTTGTTTTGTTTTTTTAAATATGGAGAAAAGATTATTTCCAATCTAAAAGTATAAGGCTTTGGCTTTGACCATGCTCAGCATTAATGTTTGTTGGTAGGTATTTGTTTTCTTGACAACATCCAAGGCTGAATTTCTCTTCTGAGTAGAAAACAATCTATATTTATCATTATTGTAGTTATCGTATAGGACGGGGGAAAAAAACCATTGACTATATAAAATAATGGATGTAGCCACCATGACGTCAGCCATTGTTTTGTGGATTGCCATTTTGATTCCTCAAGTTTGGAATTTAGGGCCATCGCCATCTTTTGGAACCAGAAGTGACCATATTTGGATTAGAGCGTGGAGCTGATTCATAGACTGTGATGACACTTTGCAGACAGCCTATTACTCAACTGGCCCTGCCCTTAAGGCTTAATAAAATGTAAACCAGTAATTTACAAACCAAAAAGGCACCCCCCATACAGTTGTCATGAAGGGGGAAATTAGCTTGGACCCAGTCACAAGTGGCCATTTGAGGAACTGCAGTTTTTGGCACTATATTTCGACCCCAGAGGTTGCTGTTTGGGGAAAAAAAAAACAAAAAACATGAGGAAGTGATGCCTCAGCTAGTGTACACTTGTCACATAGTGATGATGGCTGACCCTATACAACTACAACACAATAAACAATCCAATTCTGTGATCTAGATGATGTCAAAAGAGCATCTTTTTTCAGTGAGATCCTGAGGTTACAGGTTCAAAGGCTGCCTCGCATCTCAAATCTGTGACTAGACAGGATAGCTGTTTGTAGCTTCCATGATGTGTCTCTACCAAGTGGCAACTTCCGGGGCTGAAAAAAATGAAGCCAACGCATAAGTGCCAAAAACTGCAGGTCCTCAAATGGCCACTTGTGGCTGGCTCCAGAAGTCAGTCAATTCCTATAGACCCCCATGTTAAAATGTCCACTTTTACAGCAGAAATAAACATGTTTACAGCCTGGTACAAAAAATCCCTCTGATGACAACTGTACGTGGGTAAATTTTTATATAACTCACCTGTATGGATTTTTATCAAGGCTTAAAGTTATGCACATTTAAGAGAATTGCTGCTTTGAGTAACAGGCTGTCTGTGAGACATTGCTACAGTCTCTTAGTTGGATCCATTCATCACTCCTCCACAGCTTCACCCTCTCTTTTAAATTTGGCCAATTCTGGCTCCAAAAATCCAAGATGGCGATGGCCATAATTCCAAACTCAAGGCTTCAAAACAGGAGTCCACACACAACATGTGAGGTTACTGCCCATTATTTTATACAGTCTCTGGTGTACGCACTTCAAATAGCTCTCATCAGACTCATTGGTCTTTCTCAGTCCTTCTTACAAAAAAATTGGTTCACCTAACCCAGCAAAAGGAACCCAATGTTTTGGGTGAATTGAAAGAAATTACTTTAAACTATAGCTATTGTTTCCCACTATTTTGATAAACAGAGAATCACCCACCTTCTCGGAGCACCACTCGTTCGTATGCTGGGAAGCGCGTGGCCAGGGTCTGACTGCTCAGGTTTTCTCTGCTCTTCCTCAGGTCCTTCCTCTTCCCAGAACGGTTAGCTCGCAACCGCCAGAAGTCCGCTCGATCACCGGCAACAGCTTTATGAGAGCTCTGGACACTGGCCATCTGCTCCGCTCTGACAGGGAAGACATACAAATGTCACTAATCATTCATTATTATTAATATATTATTAATTCATTATTCACTTACAGGATAATGTATAGAACTAGTTCTGAAGCTTTACAGTGCTTTAAACTGTACATGAAATTGAAAACAATTTTAGTTGTAATTATTTTTCACACATCTGACCTTTGTGTCAAATGTGTGAAAAATAAATACATTTGGGAGTTTGCCCATCCAGTCCACATGTGCTTTATGGACTTAGAGAAGGCTTATGACCGCGTCCCTCGGGGGGTCTTGTTGGGGGGGGGGTACTGGGGGAGTGTGAGTACCAGGCTTGCTGCTACGAGCCGTCTGGTCCCTGTATGACCAAAGTGAGAGCTGTGTCCGAATACACGTTCTTGGTGGGTGTTGGCCTCTGTCGTTGTGATATTCATGGACAGGATCTCGAGGTGCAGCCGAGTAGGGCTGTCAACGAATATTCTAAATTCGAATTTAAATTCGAATTTGAAAAAAAAAATGGACCTTCGAATGTGAAAACTGATATTCGATTGTGGAGAAAAAAAAAAACACCACCGCAGCTGTCCTCTTTGCGAGTGGGAGGTGGGAGCGGCCACGGAGCTGCGTGGCGTGGCGCAGCTGGTGTGGATGACACAATCGGTTAACATGGGCGCTGAAAGGAAACTGGCTTCGCTTCTCGGCGCTTCGAGGCTATTCGCAGCGCTTCCGCGGGCGGTGTGGCCTGACGGGTCAGAGAGGGGGGGTGAGCGAGAGGTCCGCAGTCGTTTATAACGTAATGTTATAGATAATTGTTTTATGTGTTTTAATGTGTAGGTATGTAAATGTTTTCAAAGACGTTTATGTTGAAATAAAAATACCTACAAGTAGTTATGTTTCCTTGTATTAATACATACAAAAGTATATTTCCTTGTATTAGTTTGCCCTCTTGTGGACATAATGCGGAAAAAAAAAAAATCGAATGGTTCGAACCTATGAGTTATTTTTAGAACGAATATTCGAATGTCATTTTTGAGCAATTTTGACAGCCCTACAGCCGAGGGGAGGAAGGAGTCCGGTTTGGGACCTCAGAATTGCATCTCTGCTTTTTGAAAATTATGTGGTTCTGTTGGCTTCATCACACTGTGACCTCCAGCATGCACTGAGGCAGTTTGCAGCTGAGTGTGAAGCAGTTGGGATGAGAGTCAGCACCTCCAAATCTGAGGCCATGGTTCTCTGCTGGAAACAGGTGGATTGCCCCCTCTAGGTTTGGGGAGAGTTACTGCCTCAAGTGAGGCAATAACTCGGTAGTAACTCAAGTGAGGCAGTAACTCGGGTCTTGTTTATGAGAGAGGGTAGAAAGGAGTGTGAGATGGATCAGCGGTTTGGTGCAGCTTCTGTAGTTATGCGGGCACCGCGCCGGACCGTAGTGGTGAGGAGGGAGCTAAGCCAGAAGATGAAGCTTTCAATGTACTGGTCCATCTACGTGCCAACCTTCACCTATGGTCATGAGCTCTGGGTAGTGACCGAAAGAATGAGATTGTGGATTCAAGCGGCCGAAGTGAGTTTCCTTTGTGGGGTGGCTGGGCTCAACCTTAGAGATAGGGTAAGGAGCTTGGTCATCCAGAGGGAGCTCGGAGTAGAGCCACTGCTCCTTCGCGTCAAAAGGGGTAAGTTGAGGTGGTTTGGACATCTGATCAGACCGCTGGTAGGAGGCTCCAGGGCAGACCCAGAACACGCTGGAGGGATTACATATCTCATCTGGCCTGGGAATGCCTTGGGGTTCCCCAGGAGCAGTTGGAAAGTGTTGCTGGGGATAGGGACGTCTGGGGTGCTTTGCTTGGCCTGCTGCCCCCGCGAAATTTTTTCTGCTCTTTTCTCCTGTTTTGTCTTCTCTTGCAGAGTTTGACAACTTCAATGACACATTCAGTGATGTTAACCAATAAGAGCATGGACATCTCTTCAAAACACAAACTCACTCTGACTGACTGGGAAGAAAAAAACACAGTCCACCTTCACCGCCCAGTGACCATGAATGATTCCAGCTTCACTTCCATTCACAAAACTCTGATTGCATATGGATACTTCTGTAGTCTGGGCGTCAAGGTGTACAGTGAAGACAGTGAGCTGTGATTGGTCAGGTTTGGATGTCCAGTGTACCAAGTCTAAAAAATGTAGAATTCTATGTATTACCTAATCTGACACAGTGACCATCTGACTCACTCTCCATCAGGCACAAAGGAGAGTGTGTCTTGTTGGTTGTGGCTCTTTCCCTTTTGACTCTATATCTGCTGACATTGTTTGGACGCCCAGCAGCCAACTGTTCAGACCAAGCGGAAACCTCCAGGGCTGAAAAATGAAGGCAATGTAGAAATGCCAAAAACTGCCGTTCCTCTAATGGCCACTTGAGGCTGGCTCCAAGAACAAGTCAATCGCCATAGACCCCCTTTGTCAACAACCTGGTACAAAAAACAGTTTTGTTCTGTATAGCTAATTTCAACATTCATTGCAACTGTGCGGGGATTAAATTTTTATCTAACTTTGTTTGTGGGTGTTGTCTGTTGACAAGTTGCTACCACAGTGACAACGTTGGTTAGGTAACGTAACTATGATGAAACCCCAGATTCCAGAGTAACAGCATAACCATAACTGTCGCTATTTCAGTTTGTTTTCAGTTCATGAAAGTCAATTGTAACCTTGTGGTTGCTTACAAAAGTCTTGTTCAGTGTTTGGTGTACTAAGATACCCTCTAAGGATGTTAGATCAGGTCAGATGTTCAGTTTTTCTGGTGAGCACATGGTTTTAAAGTGCAACATGCAGGTTAAATTTTTTTAAAAATATATAAATAATCTTGACTGAAAATTACCATATGAGAAGTTAATTCAGAATTTATTAAGGTTTACATGACATGAAGGCACAAATTCAGAGGAAAAAGTGGCTCTTTTTAGCTCCTCTTCTAAAAATGCTTTTTTTCAACATCGCCTGATACTATGTCACGAGAGGGACTCTGCGTCCTTGATCCTGCCTCTGTCCAATGCGCAGTAGTAGGTGGTAGTGAGTCTGAGCAGTAGTAAACTTATGAGTTAGTATTTTTTCGGTTGTTAACAGTGCATTTCACCATTTGTGATTATGCTGAATTATTGTGTTTGTGCAGGTTGCACAAACTCGAGTCTGTCAGGACATCGAGTCCACCGTTTTCCAGACAGAAAAAGGAGTGGAGTTAGTTTTCGTGCATTTTGTGCAGGTGAAGAGGCGCAATTTCATGGCTTCATCTGTGACCAAAAACGCGGTCGCGTGCAGCGCTCATTTTGGACAGGAGGATTATGTTCCTGGCGGAACCCGCCCGCCCTCGCACATACCCCTGAGGCTCGGGTCTCCGCGGAGAGGGAGACCCGAGCCTCGGAGGTATGTGTGGGGGCAGGCAGGCTCCGCAGAGAGGGAGGCCTCCGTGTTTGAGACGGGAGCGGGCGGCGTGAGGGTTGATGGGCAGTGTGAGGCATGTTACGTCTGGTCTGGGGGTCAGATTCTCCACCAGAGCCCAGAAGGCATCCACCTTCCTGCAGCACATACTCTCCACAGCTGAGGACATGGGCTGGCAGTTCCCACACAAGCACCTATCATACAAAAAATTATCAGGAAATCTTTGTATCTCTCTCTCTCCCTCCCTCTCTCCCCTGCGGACATCAATACACCGTAATGTGGAGTTATAACACGCATAGCAAGATACGTATGATACAAGCTGATATTTGTGCATTAGTTTCTGTTATGGGTAAGTAGTATTAGTTATATAATACTAGCAGAAATATTGGTAGCTTTGATATAACCTAATATGTGATGGCAAACTTAATGTTGTGATGTGAACACAGCGTTAGACATCGTTAGCTGTCGTTAGCTAACGCTGGTCACTCACCAAGACACCTGCCCAGTTCTCCACTGGTTCTCATAACACCACAGCTCTATTTCTCTCCTGTGGCAGTTATTTCTCCTAACCCTGATCTGTTCCTGGTCTCTTGGACACCTAGCAGGCTCATAATTATAAGCCTGTGGGCTGTCATATGCATATGAATGTACATTTTAAAGCTCTTCAGTCTCAAACCTAGTACTGGGATCCATAATGTTACACTCAAACGAACTCGGCTGGACTCCCTTACGCTATGTCACTTCCGGTTAGTGGGTTTTTAGATACGGAAGCAAAATTCTCTCACAAAAACGACCCCAAAAGTCACTGTAGTGTGTATATGTTTTTGTTTTTTGTTTTAATTGAGTTTCTACATCATTTTCCTACACATATTCACCATGGTCTCCAACCTGCAAGTTGGGCTTTAAGCCTGTATTTTGCTTGTGTAATTAGCATTAGCATTACCATGATGGACTGTATATGAAGATGGACAAATGCGTCTCCACTTCCCCCCACTGTACAGAAGTGAAGCTAATATATTCTGGATAAGGCCGCTGCCATCTTGCTCTGGGAACATTATTCAGAACCAGAGTCTGCATAGTTGTGATCGCCATGGTATCAAGTTTCCTGCACATACACCTCTCTGACCAATTGCTAGCAGCATCACTGAATGTGAGGCCACCGACTGGCTCACACAGTTGTCAATCATGTTGTAAAATCCCCATTTTATAGCATTAAATAACTAATTAAAGCCAAACTTAGCAGAATAACGAACACTTGAACATACAGCAGCATGATAGAAACTTCCCTTAATGCTAGAAACCATCTTTGGAAAAAAATTGTATGATGTGTAGTTTGAGTTTTTAGTTTAGCTCAGGTCCCATCCACCAACATGCAGAGGGCGGGCTTTATGCCCTACACTGCAGCCAGCCACCAGGGGGGCAATCGAGATGCTTTGGCTTCACTTTTGGGGAGCTGTTATGGTGTCCATCTTTATATACAGTCTATTATTATCATGGTTAACCAAACCTGTAAATGCACTGTGCTGATCAAGCTAGCAGCTAATGTTAAGGTTATCCCCCCCCGTCACTCAAATATGGTCACTTTTGGCTCCAAAAATC